TTATTTCACATTTCTAAAACCTGCACTTTGTAGGTAAAATCTAAAACTGACAGTGTAATATAAATAAAAATAGTGCCATACAACAATAAATGTAAAATTAATTGACTAATTTAACGAATAAATGACCCACTCTTGCTTCCAGAACTGTAACATCCATCCCGAAACTCTGGAGCTGTCTGGCTGCAGCCAGGCCAGAAACGCCGCCGCCGATGATGATGACCTTCCCCGTCTTCTTCGCTGCAACGGAACCAGAGGCGTGTTAAACTCTCAATCAGTTTGGATTTTTAGAGAGGTTGTTGTCAGTGTAGTGAATGCTTATTGTCCAAGAAGGAAAAAATAAATCTACTTTTTAAAGCAGCAACAGAATCTAAAATCTGAATTATTAGAAGTTAATAATCCTGATCAACTAGATTGATGAAGTAAAAAGAAAAGGTGAATTTGTTCAGAGGGAGATTTTGCAACTACAGTAAAAACATGAGATTATTCTAAGGCTTTGTACTCAATAACATCACTAATCATGTTGTTGGTAAATACATATTAGATATTAAAGTATCCGGGGGAAATGGACTCACTGGGCAAAGGCTTGACTCTCTTGTAAATGCCAAAGTTAATGAGGCCGTGCCTCTCTAAGTAGCTGTGAACTCGGTGAACCAAAACCGTATCACCTGGGAAAAAAGGAAAAAATCAAATATGAGATTTTCTTATTGGATAAAAGAAAGAGAAATAAAACATTTATATTTCTGACGGCTTACTGTTGTATGGAGCTTCAAGCTGCTGAACCGTTGCCTCAAAGGTGAGCTGAATCTTCGGGTTGTCCAGCCACAGCTGGATCTGAAGGGGATCAACAAGACACAGTGATGCATGAAAACTGCTGCTGTGTTTCTGTCTGGAAGCAAAAGGACACGGGCTGGAGGCGACGTACGGTGCGGTTGCGGATGTACAGGAAGACTTTCTGCGTCTGCTGAGGGCCGCTGATGATGTCGGGGAAGCAGGCGGCTTCCTGGGATGTCATTCTGTCGTGAGGAAGGCGGCTCTGGAAAGCAGCTCCTTCCAGACCTAAAGACGACGCCGCGGTTCACTTTAAAGCTGAAAATATTCCCGCTGAACGTCTCACTTGTCAAACAGGACAGGTGAGTGTTTTCTTGTGTGAAACTCACCTGATGGTTCTTCAGGTTCGCTGTCGTTCTCCTCCTCAGGAGGCGGCGCGGGAGGAGGGATGACCTGCTTCCTTTCCTTCTCCGCCTTGGCGTTCCTCTCCTCCTCAGAGTAATACTCATCCTCGGACAAGTTGGCCAGGCTTTCGTCCATCTCGCGGTACTCCACCTGCAACAGTAGGCACAATAAAAGCACCATTAAAACCGGCATTCCAGACGGCCACGAGGGCCTTTACTCACTCTCCTGAAAACAGCTAAGAGTCAAAGAGAAAGGACTGAAACTGAAAAATTGCTTACAATATAAGAAAGATTTAATCAGAAACAAATATTTTTAAACTGTGAAAATGATCTGAATTTAAAAAATGATTTAAAAACTGAAACAAAATATTGAAACTGAAAAAAAAAATTATTAAAACTTGATAATTATTGGTTGAGCATGAAAAAAAAAGATTTGAACCTAAAACAGATTTTTTGGAAAATAAAAATAGATTTCAAACTTTAAAAAAGTTCAAATTAAAATAAAACTATTGAAACAAAGATAATTTTTAAACTAAAATATCTGAACCCGAACATTTATTTGAAATGTGAAACTGGAAAAAAAATAATCTTTTAAGGTGAACAAATATTTAAAATTAAAGAAAACAACTTTACAAAACAACAAAAATTGTATTTGAAATTTATAAATATGAAAATAAAAAAGCTCAAAACTACAAGAATTTTATTTTCAGTTTTACGTATGAAAACGTTGCGCAGAAGCAGAAAATATTTTGACTAATAAACACATTGATATGGCGGCAGGTCAAAGGTCAGATCTCATGATGTCAGGCTTGCCCAAAGTACAGAAACAAAGCTTAAACTTCGAGTTGCCAAGGCGAAGACAATGAAACCTAAAATGCTTAAAGCAGGAGCCTCAAGCTGCAGCCAGCAGGGGCGGCGGGTCTGCTTCAACACACCTGAATAAAGAGTCGGGTCATTAGCAGGAGTCATGACTGCATGTTCAAAACATTTAATCTACCCATCTTTACAACTTCAGAACCCTAAAATGTTTACTTTTGCTCGCTTCCGCCGACTCGTTCTGCGGACTTCAGCCGCGTCAGCGTCGGCGCCTGCAGGCCCTGACTGCTGGGGGAACGGGGGCCCGCTGGGCTCCCCGCTCGGGGACGATCTCTCCTTCTTCTTCGGGTCCAGCGGCCCAGTGGCCGAGGCGGAGGGCCCGCTCTGGACATCGGCTCCTAGCGGTCGTTCGCCCCCCGCTGCTCCCACAGAAGATGAAGAGGAGGAGGACGAAGAGCCTGCATCTGATTTCTTGCTGGACAGCATAATGGAAGACGATGGAGGCCTCTCCTGGACAACAGACGGATATGATTATATGGACACTCAGCAGCAACCATGACAAGGTAACTGAGAAAAAGACGATTAGAGTGAAATGAAACAAATTGAAAAGTTTTAAAACGGATTAAATGAAAAATATTTTGAAATATTTGATGAGAATGACAAAGTGTGAGTTGCAGGCAGAGAACAACAAAATAAGTACTTTTGCACGGCATCTAAACAACAGAAAGTGCAGAAAATGATCATTTGCAAACAAAAATTAAATCAAAATCCAACCAACATCTCTCTCTATATTCAGACATCAATGTAATAAGATTTTTAGTTGATTTTAGACCAACATTGTTCAACAAAAAAAATAATTTATGGATTCATTCATTGGAAACAGTGGCATGTGTTCGTATGCAGCTTTACAGAAAATATTTTTACCACCTTCTTCTGAATCTCATTCATATTGGATGGATGTGAGGCTGCTCAATGTTAGAAAATCATTTAATGGTGATAATATTGGTAAATATTCTACGATGATATCTGGCTGTTTTTTTTCTTCCTCTCATTGTCATCTGTGTTAATGTCACTGCACATCAGCTCCACTGCTAAATATTACATTAGCAAAAAAAAATGCAAACTAGAATTTACTAGCCAACAATTACTGAACACAAAACTGCTCTTAATTATGTGAATATTGCAGAAAATTGATCTTGCAATGACAATGTATTGTGGATTATTTTATTCCAACTTGTATTTCTACACTGTCTTGGAAATATTAAAGTCGTGCACAACAGTGCAATTATGAGTAGAGTTTAGGTAAAGTATGAATAAAGTCAAGATTTAATTCAAATATGGATCAGCAGAGATATATATGTTTATAGTTTTAAACAAGCAGCAGTAAAATCAGATATGAAACAGAATAATGTCAAATTAAAGGTAATGAGACAATTGCTCTACTGTCTGAAACAATAAATACAAAAATACAATGTAGGTTTGAGTAATACGTCGCCAAATATTAACATTTCTCTTCACTGGATGACAGAAACGATGTACAGTGCTTATGGGAGTGATGGTTTCATGAAATGAAAGCTCCAAGGTACAGTAACCTTGTCTTGTTTTACCCATTTCTCCGTACACCTGGTAATATCCATTCAAACACTAAGGGACGAAGACAGAACCAGAAATATGGTTACACACACAAACAACACTGTCACCTTTAATAAGACACTTCATTCAAGACAAGCTAACAAAGTCAGAAAAAAACCACCTGAAATGTCACTGACAAAACGGTTTGAGACAGTTTAGTCAGGAAAACTGAAAAATAAAAAATGTTCCTGTGTAATCAGCTGTGTACGGAAGAGGATCAGGACCAGTGGGGAAAAAAATTAATTATGACTTTCCTCCTCACATCCCCTACTCCAACATCTCTCTGCCCGGGTTTCTAACCATTAGGCCACACAAAGAATAAGAGAGGAGCAGCAAAAGCAAGCAAGGTGGATCAGCACCAACAACTGCTGGTGTCATCCAGGCCATGTTACTGTGGAGTATGGTCTCTGCTGCTCGCAGCTGTTAGCATGTTATAACAATCAACTGTCAGACAGCGACAATGTTCAGCCAGAAGCCTCTTCAGATTCACAGCAAGACCAACTGCTACTGGAGACCCTTCCTGCCCAAAGTATCACCATCCACCATCTTCCATACTTGGATTTTAAAAAATCCTTTTAATTTAATCTAAGAAATCTTACTATTTTGCACATGGTTATGAGAACAAAGTTATTATTCTGTTTCCTAGTTTACCTGATCCTCTTCCGTAGTTTTGGCATTAATCATCACAAAAATAGCCTTTCCTGCTTTTATTACTATGTTGGTTCAATGAACTAACGTTAGCTAGCAATGGAAGCTAGCACCGAAAGATGGACCCTGCTAGCGCTCACAACAGCTTTGTTACTAATGACGAGCAAATTTAACAACATATTGGTTGGATTTCACAGTCTAAGAACTGAGTTAAACTGTACAATATATTTCCAATACACCTAGTCTCTTATTGTGAATGTATCCCGTTAAAATGACCAAAGAACACCATGCTTCGTTAGCTCAGGCTAACAATGAGACGCAGCTAGCAGATGAGCAGGGTTTGCATAATAACAGTTTTGTCCCAAATAAGTCCAATTAGATACAATTAAAATGCTAATTTATTAGTAACACATCAAAGTGAATGCCAAAGATTAATAATGGAAAAATAAAATTAAAGAAATTACCTCTCAATCCTCCAAAAATATCAAAACAAAGACGTTACAGATACAGGTTTTCCAGATAACTCTTCCGTGATTGGTGGATAACAAAAAACGTTATGCAATGCTACTCCGATATGATTGGCTGCCGAACCCGTCGAATGAAAAGAAAGGAGGCTTCTACGTTTTTATTAAAGCCAGTCTGCCTAGGCCATAAAATCCAACGATTGTTTTTATTTTTATTTCTTACTCTTTTCCAACAGCTGGTCTGAATCTAGCATTTTAGGTTCCTTTTCATCGATTTGAGAAACCGGATTCAAGAGCCACTGGAACTGACGTCGATGTGGAAGAATAGAGATAGAAGATTTGACGCCCCAGTTGTGCTACAACGTCGTCGCCATATTGTGAGGGGCATGTTTGAAGAAACTGGTACAAAACTGTACAAGCTAGTTCCGTTCCAACGGGGTGACTGGAGGTACCCAAAAACTGTCCTGAAATAAGAGTAGCACTGCTTCAGCATATTGTTGCTCAAGTAAACCATATTTGGTAAAACAGCTGCCTATCAAAATATCTGATTTAATATTTTGAAATAATATCTTCATACTGACAAAACTGTCAAAAACTACATAAATGTTAATAAGATATTTACAAAATAAGCTCAGACAAAAGAAACACTTTTCCAAATATATTTATATATATTAAATATAATGTGAAATTAATACAGTAAGTAAATTCAAACAGAGTAAAGTACTTCCAATAATTGTTAACTGTCTCTTCTTAATCCCTTAAACAAGGCTCTGCAGACAGAAAATAGCACTAGAATAGCAAAGAGATCTTACTTTAACATAAACTGTAGGTGTGTGTGTTTGTCTGCTGTAATTTTGGTTAAAACTATTTGCTCCCATTAGTCAGATGACCCAGATACTTTACTCAAGAAAAATAGCGTTACTTTATAATAAAGTTACTACTTGTAAAAATAAAAGTACAATACAGAACATTTATTGCTCTTTCCCCCCCCCAAAAAAGTGCATCTAGCTGCTCCAAGCAGCTATAGGCTTTATCACTGATCCCAACAAACTCAACAAGTGTTGACATCCCTGTTGTTGCTTGCACAACTTTTTATTCATTTACTTTAAATATTTTAAATAGTTTGTTGCTGCTTTCTGTGCATATTTATGCACATCTCATCCATTTATTTAAATCATATTCAGATGCAAATTTTTTGGGATTTAAGGATGTTATTTTTAATGACTGCATGTTATTTAATTTTCGGTATTGTGTCTTCTCTTATTTTTCTGTTTTAAATGTTATTTTTATTTTTGTTTCTTTTACCTTAGTTTGAGTCTCTATGCTTCCATTTACCTTTAACTTGCTGCTGGTACACGTGGTTCTCCCCATTGTGATACAAGAAGGAATATTTCTATTCATTTATTTGGAAAATACACTTTCTTCATACAATCCTACTGGTTTTCAAGAAGAAGCCACTCACAATATGGCGGACACATTACTGTTTGGTTTCTATGTCTTTTCAGTCTATGCAAAGGCGGAGCAGGAAGAAGAAAGGGAAGGAGGACAGGTAAAGGTGAGCGGATACATCGTTCCTTCAACCCAGGAAAAGGTACAAGAGTATTTTCACTTCTTCATTTCTTCATTTTGGAGCCGACTGCTGGTAAGAATCCCTAGTTAATGGATATATATTCCGACTCAAGGGTTCATTTTATTTTATAAAGTGAATTATTGGGACTGAGAAATGTATTAAGTGGCCTATTTAATGCTCATTAATGACCTGTATGTTGCTCAGCGCTGAATTACTGGTGTGTAACAGTCAAATATGTGGGATTTTAGTGTGATAGATGGGTCAGCAATTGATTAAAATTAAACAGCCAGCAAATAGTACAGTGAGTGTAAACAGGAAGTTGAGTGCTAAATAATTTATCCTTCTAAATTACGTAAACTTGGAGTTCCTGATGTTTTTTCACTCCCAAAGATATTCTATAGCTGCTTAAATAAAAGTATGTCTTCAACAATAAGTCAGAAACATATTTTCTGAGATACGGAACAATCCAACAGAATCACGGCAATGGTGAAGGAGGAGCAGGAAGAGTTGTCCAACCGGCCTGACAACACTGCCTTCACCCAGCAGCGGCTTCCAGCATGGCAGCCCATTCTCTCTGCAGGCATCGTTATTCCAATGTTTGTCCTCATTGGGGCGGCTTTCATTGGTGTTGGAGTTGCTCTCTTCATCGCTTCACGGGACATCCAGTTGCAGGAAGTAAGATGGGAATGTTTAATGCAACGATTGTTTTTACCAGACTGAGAATGAAGAGTCAAATGTCAGAAGAAACAAACAAGACAGAGTCTTTAGGTTTCAGTATTAAAATTGTGACCCACTTCACTTTCTGACACTATAGATTAGCAACAATTTGTGTTGTAACCATAAAACAATGTGTTAACAGTTGGACTACACTGGTGATGACTCTAATCATCCCTGCTATAAGTGCAGAACAAGTACAGAAAAATGTATGTGCAACTTGACGTTCTCCATCCCATATCTGTTCAAGGTTAGACACACACCCTGCTTTTCGATCTGATAGTTTAAGCTTTGTACTTTTGTCATCTGAGATTGTTTGTTTTGTTTTTGCATATTCCTTTGCCACACAGGGGCCTGTCTTCTTTTACTATGGCTTGACCAACTACTTCCAGAACCAAAGAAAGTACGGGGCATCCAAAGACGATAATCAGCTGTATGGAGACCTAGATTACTTCAAAGTGAGACGATACACCTTTTTAAAGAAGAATTCACAAAGGGCTTAGGAGAATACCTGCTCAAAACGTCACATTTTCCTTGCAGCTCTGGCAGTATGTTTAGGTCTGTTGTCCTGCCTTCTGTGGCCTCTAACAGGGTTTCTTCCAGGATTGTCCTGGATTTAGCTCAATCCATCTTCTCATAAACTGCAGCCATTTATAGTTCATCCTGAAGAAGCAGAGCATGACCTTAACCATGTTTCACCATTCAGATGTTCAGTGTTCGATGTCTCTCTTACTTGGCTTGTGGGAAATTATAAACAGGATATATCTTTCTTACGCCTTGTTTCCACTGAGCAGTAATTGTGTTGTGTGATGCCAGTTGCTCTGCCTTCACCATACATACTGAAGATATGGGTCAGTATGGGCCACTTTCACAAAATAATGTACCGACCCGAACCAGTGTACTCGGTGGACGAGCAGCATTAGAACGATGTTTGTGTTCATGACTTTCTTATAAGCAATAGTTTCAGTTAATCTTGTAAAAGTGAGCTTAACATAAACCAAGTAATAACAGATTTCAGGCATCAAACTGATCAGTTATTTATTTGTGTCTTCTGAAAGAATCCCTCCAGTGACTGTGACCCATATACTCATAATAGGAACAACATACCAATCGTGCCTTGTGGAGCGCTGGCAAACAGCATGTTTAATGGTATGCATGATGTTGCCGCTATTCCCTGCAATAAATACTCTCGTTTTCTGACTGCCTCAATTCTTTCTGCCTTTTTCAAAAGACACCTTTTCGCTGAGTCATACGGTCAACGGGACTCAAAAGATTGTGCCTCTGGATGGAAAAGGGATTGCTTGGTGGACTGACTACAACGTCAAATACCGAAATCCCAGCGACAAGCCCCTGATCAACGCCTTCAATGGTACCACTAATCAAATGAACTCTGTTTCTCTTTGGAGCTAGCCTTAAACAGTGTTTTTTCTCAGGAACCACAAAGCCCACAAACTGGCCTAAACCTGCTTATGAGCTGGATCCCACAGATGTGTTCAACAACGGCTTCATCAATCAAGACTTTCTGGTCTGGATGAGAAGGGCTGCTCTTCCCGATTTTAGGAAACTGTATCGACGAATCACGCATGATGACTATGTAAATGGTCTACCAGCTGGAAACTACACTCTGACAATTGCCTACAGTATCCTTTAATATGCATTATGAATTCTGGGGTGAGGCTCATAGGAGGTATATTTTATAAATGTAATGAATTATTATTGGTTTTACCTTTTTATCCTGCTGTTAAACAAGTTGGTTTTATGAAGTTTATGCTTAACCCTAAACATTAACTGGTTACATGAATTTTATCTTAAACGACTTAGGAGTTTACTGAGATGAAGGAGGATCAGGCAAATATTTAGTCAGGCAAACAAGCCAGGCAAATAACTACTGCCATGCAAAGGACCTTCTGACTGCTTTGAGAAGCTGAACCACTTTAGCTGTGAGTCATCTTGATTAAAGGTCTGGACTCAAGCAACACTCATAGATTTTGTTTATTTTTCTTAAACTCTGGAAGTCATGCAGTGCAGGTATGCATGTCTCTGGGTGACTGAGTGGCTTTAAATGCATTTTAAAGAAAACAATTTTTTTTAAGTTTCTTGTTTTCATTTGGGCTTGGAGTTCATGTTGGTCATACTTATTTCAAATTCAAGAAATATGTGGAAACAAAAGTGAAGCACAAGGCAGCTGAAAGTTGCCACAGAGGGAACGTCGCATCCAGGCCAGTGAACTCTGGGATGAACGCACAAAGTTTTACTGACACACAACATGTAAGAAGTGATGGTAAAATGTTCGGCTCCAGATTGGTTCTTAAAATAAAGATTAAGTTTAAGATTTGCCCCGTAAAGAGGAGGAATAATATCTGAGAGACCTAACCAACTGGCACCTTACCCAGTATTTTAAAAGCAAAAATAAATCTCTAACTGGAATATTTTACATTGGTGAGTCAGTGGTTGTGTAAGGTGAAGCAGATGAAAGTCTAATTTTTCGACATTTCATCAGTGCTGCTGAGGGTTTCACTCCATTACCTGTCAAAAGGTTCTTTTATAATGCCTAACGTATCATATGTGAGACATGAGTTCTTGAATTTTCTGTCAGTCATCTTATGGTGTGGGGTTTAAAGGGTTAAAGCAACATCACTCAGACTCGTTGCTTTGTCTCCTGTTTGTTTCCTCACATTGTGTCATTGACTCTAAAAAGTAAGTTTCATGTAACAGGTTGAGGTCAAAATACCGAAACATTTGAGGTGCAGCTCACTTGGTTTTATTGGGGGATTATTTTATCTCATTACTCAGTTCATAAGTGAAACTCATAAATGTGTATATTTCTGTTAATTTTAATGGTTATGACTGATAAAAACTCCTCCAATAAAACAATAAAAGGTTCTTAAATGGCCTTCACAACTGTAGGCCATTTAAGCGATTCATCTATACTTTTCTCGTTTTCTCATTAAGATCCCTGAAGACTAGCTGTGAAGTCTAAACTTGGTGCATATCCTAAACATATTTCCCTCAGACTATCCTGTTCATTCGTTCAACGGCAGGAAGAAGGTGGTGCTCAGCAACGTATCTTGGATGGGAGGAAAGAATGACTTCCTGGGAATCGCATACATCGTGGTTGGCTCCCTGTGTGTCGTCATGTCCGTCGTTATGCTCATTGTGTATGCTAAATTCAAATTTCCCGAAGATGACTGAGCACCTGGAAAAGTGCCAAAGGAAACTTTTTCATGTAGTTGATCAACCTCAGCTGGAAACAGTGACCTCTGAACTTTTAGGATTTGGAGTTTAAATGTATTGCTAGTGCTCTATTTTTCTTACTTTTTCTATCTGTATTTCGTAAATGACATTTATCTTCAGGGCTAAAGCTGTATCCTACCAATTATTGACCTATTATTGATAGGCCAATAATCTTAAAGCCATATTTCTCATGAAAAGTAATTTTAAACTAATCAGGCAGTTACATTTGAGTAAAAAGCTTCATAAAAAGGTTGGAAAACTTGTACATATTTATTTCTGACTCAGGGAAATTGTTTACCAGCTTTTCTTTGTGATATTTTTGTTGGGTGGCTTCAAAGCTTATGTAAGTTTTAGTTTTCCTTGAAACTTTTAGTTTAATACATATTCAATATTTATTAAATATAACAAATTAATCTTATTTTGTTCCTCTGTGTCTTATTTATGCCCTTATGCTCAGCTCAAAGGATTCTGTTCATGTTTTTCTTAAACATTTCCTTTGTAGATAATTATAAAAAAAAATACATGTATAAGTTGTTCCTTTTTAAATGATCGTGTAACACTCTGTGGATTTAAGATAACTGTTAAGGTTGCAGACCCCCTGTCTGGAGATAGGCTATTGATTTTTTTTTTTTTTGTAGTATTCACTCATTAGTGGTTTTATTGATAAGAAATGTAAAAGAAAAGAACAAAATCTCATTTTCTTTTATTAAATCAGATTATAAAAATGTGCGCTGATGTCTGGAACTGATTAAATATCACCAAAAGGCAATGATGGCACTAAAATATGGACAGAAAAAACATTGATTTGATATAATCGTAGAAAATGCTGTCTCATCGGCGACTACTCCCTCCTTCCCTCTAGCGGCCATTTGGAGAGACAAAAAGACTGGAATATAATTATGGGTAATGTAGTATTCTAACCGCACACCGCGGTGATTCTCCCGCCCGCAGAACGACAAGTACCAGCATCCTTTGCGCCTATAAATGAAGCCAGTCCTAACTGCGGTGATTTGACAGCGGGTTGTCAGCCTGTATCACAGCCGGTAGCCTTGGTTCTTTGTTCGCCTTCATACACCTTCTGGTCACCGTCCACCTCTCCACGGAATGTCCGACGGCGGGGGGACGGAGGAGGGCGGCGGCACCATGGAGGTGTCGGCCGTTCAAACGGTGGCGGACACCTCGGTGCTGCAGAAACACATTCGGAAGCTGGTGCCGTTGCTGCTGGAAGATGGCGGCGAGGCCCCGGCCTCTCTGGAAACCGCCCTGGAGGAGAAGAGCTCCGTGGAGCAGATGAAAAAATTTCTGTCCGACCCCCAGATTCACACCGTCCTGGTGGAGAGAAGCGCCCTGAAAGGTACGTTTAACCGAATATTCTCAGAAAGAAACGTTAGTAATTTGGGTCTTTAATCGAATGTTCAGTCATTGAGCCTCCATCAGGCTCAGTGACTGATGGAGTTTCCTTCTCCACCTGTGAACGGGTTGTGGTGGGTGGAGCGCGTTGCTCTCCAGGCTTCATCTGGTTGATGTCTGTGGCCTGATGTGTTGAACCCGCATCTCATCATCAGGACATTTACTTGGAGTTGAGCTTTCTTCAAAAATGAACTCAAGATGAAAGATTATACAACTTAATGAATAAATCATTTGTTCCAACTGAATGTTGTATCTTTGGGCTTCTGTCATGTGAACCTGCTTTGTCAATGGAAACATTATTTTCAGTCAGCTGCAGGCGAGACGATCATCTTCTCAGCTGCATGTTGTTTTTTAATTTTTATTACAGCTGTTTTTATTTCTTGAGATCACACATGACCTGCCACACTGTGAACCTCCTGTCCAGTCATGATGTTTGAGCATAGATTTATGTTATCTTTTGACTTATTTCATATTATAATGTGTTTAAATGGGACAACCATTTTCTTGTTTGCACCATTTAAGTAGAACAACATGAATAATTAAGTATTTATACCATTTGAACTGGTGTTATAGATTACATCTGAAGCTGTTTATGTATTTAAAAAACTCCTCAAGTGTGTAAAAAATTTCTGCTGTACAAAATCTATGAAATTAATTGAAATGAACTCATTAAAGTCCCAACCCTAATTTTTAGATTTTTTTTAAACATCTATTTTAATTGTTATTGCAGTAAATATAAAAGTCTCCTCTCATCCAGTTTGTTGGATTTGTTTTTGTTCTTCTCACAGAGGATGTTGGAGATGAAGGCGAAGAGGAGAAAGAGTGCATCAGCTACAACATCAGCATCGACATCCACTACGGCATCAAGTCTAACAGGTGATTACATTTTCCTCGATGTTGCACAGCTTTGGTTCAGGTTTGGTTGGACACAAATGGATCTCATCCCGTCTTTTCCAGCTTGGCTCTGATCAAGAGGACGGGTGTCATTGATGCAGACAAGCCCATATCCACTCAGGTTCGGGTGCTGACCCTCAGCGAGGATTCTCCCTACGAGACTCTTCACTCTTTCATCAGCAATGCTGTCGCTCCTTTCTTCAAGTCCTACATACGGGAGTCTGGCAAAGCCGACAGGTGACGAAACAATAATTTCCTTTGTTCTTGAGAGGAGACAATGGGTGGTGAACATTATCTTACGATGTTCTCTGCGGTGGCCTGTAGAGACGGGGATAAGATGGCTCCCTCTGTGGAGAAAAAGATTGCAGAGCTGGAGATGGGTCTTCTCCACCTGCAGCAGAACATTGAGATTCCTGAGATCAGCCTGCTCATCCACGCCACCATTGCAAACGTTGCCAAGCAGTGCTACGAGCGAGGGGAGAAGCCAAAGGTCACCGACTTTGGAGATAAAGTGGAAGATCCCACCTTCCTGAATCAGCTGCAGTCTGGAGTGAACCGTTGGATTCGAGAAATCCAGAAAGTGAGAAAAGCCTCCAAGAATTCTGACTTATTTTGAAGACGTTTTTTTCTGACTCCTCTTTAACTCCCCCTGCCAGGTGACGAAGTTGGACCGGGACCCAGCCTCGGGCACGGCCCTGCAGGAGATCAGCTTCTGGCTGAACCTGGAGCGAGCTCTGAACCGGATCCAGGAGAAGAGGGAAAGCCCCGAGGTTCTGCTGACTCTGGACATCCTCAAACACGGAAAACGTTTCCATGCCACCGTCAGCTTCGATACAGACACTGGTGAGGAAAAACTGCTTCCACAGCAACACTGTTTCATTTTCTGTCTACGGTTTAAAACTGAAACAGTCTGACTGATTATTGAAATAATCATTAACTGATTTAGTAATGGATTAATCGTTAACCGAAGCATATAGACTCAAAATAATTCAATCAGACAGTAGTTGATTCAAAACTATAAAAAAAGTTTTTCTTTTAAAAAATAAACTGTCTGCTTATTTGCACCTTTAATGTACTTATAATCTTTTATCTAAAAAGCCTTGCACAGTTAAATGACTCTTCTACATTATGTTGCCACTTTTTTCCCTCAGATTGTCAGAATAATGAGTTTATAAAATAACTGTCAACTGCACCCCTAAAAATTTGTTTTTGTCCTGCAGGTCTGAAGCAGGCAGTGGAAACTGTGAACGACTACAATCCCCTGATGAAAGACTTCCCTCTCAACGACCTGCTCTCTGCCTCAGAGCTGGATAAGATCCGCCAGGCTCTCATCGCCATCTTCACTCACCTGAAAAAGATCAGGAACACCAAGTACCCCATCCAGAGAGCGCTGCGTCTGGTGGAGGCCATCTCCAGGGACCTGAGCTCCCAGCTCCTCAAAGTTTTGGGAACCAGGAAGCTCATGCATGTTTCTTACGAGGAGTTTGAGAAGGTTGGTGGCGTTGCGTCTCCATTCAGCCTCTTTTCTGTTGAATTAGTTTTGAGCCTTCTGTTTTCCCTGCACAGGTGATGGTGGCTTGCTTTGAGGTGTTCCAGACCTGGGAGGATGAGTACGAGAAGTTGCAGGTGCTTCTGAGGGACATTGTGAAAAGAAAGAGGGAGGAGAACCTGAAGATGGTGTGGCGCCTGAGCCCCGCCCACAGGAAGCTCCAGTCTAGACTGGACCACATGAGGCGCTTCAGGAGGCAGCATGAGCAGCTGAGGGCCGTCATCGTCCGGGTGCTGCGTCCACAGGTGAGCAATTATTACTATGATAATGATCCTATTTTGATGTTCACCCATAAATTATTACTATATTAATTGTTTTTTGACCTCCTGGTTCAATTATTGCTATATTAATGATTGATTTCACTTTCATCCTTCAGTTAATAAGGTGAATATACTTATAACTTACTTTAAGTTATATGTATATTACTGATTGGATTTATTAATCTGATTTAAATCCTTGTGACGTTTTGTTGTTTGCAGGTTTCTGCGGTGCAGCAGCACGCTCCAGGAGAAACTGTGGAGCCTGAAGACATGAAAGTAGCTGGAGTCCTCTTTGATGCAGCTGATGCAAACGCCATCGAAGAAGTCAACCTGGCGTATGAGAACGTCAAAGAGGTCGACGGCCTGGACGTGTCCAAAGAAGGGATGGAGGCCTGGGAGGCGGCCATGAAGCGCTACGACGAGCGCATCGACCGCGTGGAGACCCGCATCACCGCCCGCCTGCGCGACCAGCTGGGAACCGCCAAGAACGCCAACGAGATGTTCCGCATCTTCTCCCGCTTCAACGCGCTCTTCGTGCGCCCCCACATCCGCGGCGCCATCCGGGAGTACCAGACGCAGCTCATCCAGCGCGTGAAGGACGACATCGAGTCACTGCACGACAAGTTCAAGGTCCAGTACCCCCAGAGCCAGGCTTGCAAGATGAGCCACGTCCGCGACCTGCCGCCGGTGTCCGGCTCCATCATCTGGGCCAAGCAGATCGATCGGCAGCTGACGGCGTACATGAAGAGGGTGGAGGACGTTCTGGGAAAAGGCTGGGAGAACCACGTGGAGGGGCTGAAGCTGAAGCAGGATGGAGATAGCTTCAGGGCCAAGCTCAACACCCAGGAGATATTTGATGACTGGGCTCGCAAGGTAGAGAATATTTTAACCACTTTTCAAAAATATTAGTTTTTATAAAGTGTAACTGAAAAAAGGGCCAAGTGGATCGGAGAGAGTCAAGTGGAGCTCAAGTCAGAAACAGGAAAAACAATGTTACCAGCTTGGTATCAAAACACAATATTTATTGCAAGGATTTCTGGGAAAATTTATTGTCAAGTAGAATTTGTTTTTGTGACAAGCCGAGTTCCTCCTGTCACAGCTTCAGTGTTTGTCACTAGAGTGTGTTTTTCTTTTTTTAATTAAGTCACTAGAGGGATTGAAAATGTACTCCATCTTCAACCAATATTACAACATTGTCATAATAATGCAAGTACATTCTGATAAAGACCAATAAAACCTAAATTTCTAATGAACTGGGAGTCATTTTAAATATCCAATGAACTAAACAAATTAAAATAAAAACAA